AAAGAAGAAAGAAAGAGAGAGAAAGAAAGAAAGAGAAAGAAAGAGAAAGAAACGGAAGGAAGGAAGGAAGGGAGAGAGGGAGGGAAAGAATGAGAAACCTAGAGAAAATTTTCCAGAGAGATTTGGAAAGAGGGAGTCAGACAAACAGAAACAAAATAAAGAAGGAGAATCACAGATGGGAGGTCTCAAAGAGAACTGGAAGGAGAAAGTATGTGCGCCGGAGAATGAACCAAAGGGGAAAATTTATATATAGAATCTCCAGAAGAGACCCCTCGCTCCCCCGCCCTTAGAGAAAAATAGCGACAGAGACACACGTTGATCGAAGGAGGCCAGGAGGGCTCCAGAGGCACAGAAAGAGGCTCGGACGAAAACAGAGGAACCTACAGAAACCCAACCAAGAACACTCAAGCCAGTGTCCTGGGACTGCCGCTTCTCCCCTGGCAGAGCCTCGAGGCACTTCCCTGCTGTTGGGGCCTTTTGATTCCCTGGGTGTTGCTTACACCACTCGTTCAGAATTGAGATCCAGTTCTCCCGTTTGTGAAATCACTAGAGAAGCTGAAACTTCTCTCCTCCCATGGCTTCCGCTGATCGCCACCTGATGCTACGCGGCTGCCGGCCCTGCCGGGTCCACCCCACGCCCGTCGGTAGCGTGCGATCCCCTCCACTCTGAGAACCACGCGGTGCGCCAGGCGCGGACTGGGCTCACTGCGGAATCGCGGTTCTGGACCCGCCGGGATCTCTGGGGCCCTCCCCGGATACAGACCGCGGGCTCCCCACGTGCGTGTCACCTTGAAGAGGGCGGCGTCCTCCTCACGGTTGTAGTCCTGCTTGCCCGCGTGCTTCCAGGGGATGCGAAAGATGCTCTTCTCCTCGTTCTCCCACACCAGCCCTGGGTACTTGCCACTGTCGATCTGGTCGATCAGCCACTGGCGGAGTTTCCCATTGCCACAGCTCACAGAGCTCATGCCGAACTCTCCGCCTCGGCCTCCACTGCCCTCTAAGTTCATGCTCAGCACACAGACTGCGGCCCTCTCGCGCCTCCGGCACTCGTCTGCCCTGCAGGGGACAGGAGAGCCGCTCTTAAGCCACCATGGTACAGGGCTTGGGGCTTCCAGTCCCAAACCAACTCTGGCAATGACCACGAGGCCCGGAAGTCTCCGAGGCAGCGAGGCGCGCGCTAAGGAGTCATTGTCATCAAAGGTCTCATTGAGAAGACATCTTCTTAGCTGGCCGGGGCTCGTACTCTTGACGTGCATGGTTCTGCCGCCTCCCGAGCGCACCCTCCACAGAGTCTGTCTTCCTACCTCAGTTTCTGGACTCTTGGATTTTGTTACGCGCCTCACAGCTCAGACACAGCTCAGATACACAACTGCCTTTGCGTACACTCCAAAATCCAGCCACTACCATTCTTGGCACTCCGTTTGCATACTCACTCGTAATTCCCGCTCCTCTTTGGCCATCCCCAGGCTATTATCAGTCAATTTTTCCCTTTATTGTGTTTTCACTC